CATTTTGTAGGAATTCACCTGTATTGCTGGCGGTTCGTGTTCTTAGGCCATGGTGGGGAATGCATACAAGCAGTCCTTACCTACATGTGTGCAAATGAACCTCTACTTTACACAAATCAAATACGGTCTGTATAAACAAGTTCGACGTAGTAAACGACAGCAGAACTTGCACTAAGTCTACATTAGTATGTGCGTGAACAACAGTTCCATGGCTTAAAATACCAAGTTCAAATTAAGCCTCTCCATTTTAGGCGAAGTTGTAGATTAGAGGCACTCGTACAATTTTAATTAGATGTATGGGGCTCGTCAAATGCCGCTTTTTCATTGTTCTTTCCTATGTATATCCATGTTTGGTACATATTGCATAATTTTCTTCTCAGATAACAATTAAATTGGGTTTAAATGATATTATTTGTGGCGTTGAACTAGCTAACTAACATTCATCCCTTTTAGGTAAAACAAAAAATCTGCATCCTTCTGACTGACCAAATCCTCATATGCAAACAGATTCGCTTGAGCAACGCGCTAGATGTTTGCCGACCACCTATTTCTTTGATTTGTGCACAAATAATAAGCAAATCTAAACGTAAGTTGATGAGAGGAAAGGAGTTAGAGACCTTCAGCTGCAACATGCATCTTTTATAATATGTTAACTTGCATTTCGGGAAGAGCATTCAGGATCCAAATTCGTTAAGAGAGTAGAAATTAATGCCTTTTTAGGTCCTAGTTTGCTAACATTCAGCTCTAGAGAGACGCTTTGTTCTAACGGTGACTTCTGTGATGGTGTTATTATCGAAGTGGATTGGCGGTATCTTTGTCAGTCCGTGTGCTACTTCCTGTCTGAGATGTGACAGTTGCTTATAAGCTATTGTCAAGCGCGTTCGCTTGTGGCATGATTGGGCAAGTTGGAATAAGATCACCTGCGGTGTGGCGCACCTAAGTAGCCCTTGAGGAATTGAGACTAGTTGGGCACGCGCGTAGGTTTGCGTGCGTTTGCGCACGTGTTTGTGCGGTCGGGTCTAACAGTGTTAGGTCATCGCGTTGGGACAGCCCCAGCGAAGACACAAGACCTT